TTCATCGGATGGGGCGTCCGGACGTGACATCCAGATACGTCTACAATTATGGCGGCGTCCGGACGCCGTCATCCCGTCCAAAAGTGAGACTTTCAGTAGTCCATTTTCATGTACCTGACACGATGCCCTGTCGTATCGTTGGACGCTCGCCGGTGCTGAGCATCCAGACGGCCGCCTTGAAAGGGTCCTTTTGTGATGAGATGCTTTACAGAAAAAGCAATAGCTATCGGCACAAGACGGGCGTCCAGACTATCGTCCTAATGCGTCATTTTTTGCGGGGCGCGGACGCCGTCATCCCGTCCAAAAGTGAGACTTTTAGTAGTCCGTTTGAAACCTTGGATGGGCATCCCAGGGCTCAAGCGGACTACGGTTTTTACCCGTCTTTTGTTAACCTGGGTGCACAATGTCGTTAGAAGTAGTTTTAAGTAAGGAAGCCAAGGGGGTAGTAATTTTGCGCTTACTTTCGAACGTAACATTTCTTGTTGAAAAAGGCTCTGTGTTGTATATAAACGAATAGCAGCAGATTCATGCTGTGTTAAATTATCGTGACGCGGCTGAAAGTTTTGTTTCGCTATCCAAACGCTTGGTAATATGCCAATCACAGGTTTCAGTGATTCAACAGCCATTTTCAGTGACTTAACAGTACATTTCCATAGCCTCCTTCATCTGATCCATTTATCAAAGAAGCGTAATATATTTCTCGGCATGTAGTGCTACAGATGAGGCTTTTTATGAATAGCAAACTGGCAGCTATTCAGAGTCGAAAAAAGTTGATAGTTAGGTGGCGTACCTCATCACAACACTTTTTAAGGTAATGGAGTTTTCCGTAGAGCAGACGTACATCTGATTTTTGAAAATAAAAATGATTATTTTCGCATAACATAGTCTTATTATGTGTTAGATATTAATAGAAGCAAAAAAAGTCGAATTCGAAAAAATGTTTTTATTCGATAAAAAATCCCTTAAGAATCTAAATTTTCGTCAAAAAATGTTTTATTCCTGAAACTAACAAATTATATATCATTCGATGCAGTTTTATACGCTGATTCCAAATATCTCATTATTTTTTTAATAAAAGTACTCCTGAACTGAGAAACTAGATTTTACCTCATAACCTGAGGTTTTCTGCGAAATCCATAACTCCGCGTGAGAAAAGTTGTGCATTTTTGTGCATGCATATCTTGACGAACATTTCGGCGTAAGTTTGCGTCTTTTTGAAGTTTAGAAAATAAGTTTTAACTCAAGTACTGGTTCGGAAATGCCATTTATTCGAAAAATTGCTAATTTTTACCAAGTTGCTTCCACCTAAAGTGAAACATTTTTGTACCAGCAGATAGCTGATTCTTTTTTGGTCAAAAATATGTTGAAATAACGGATTTGTATCGATTCATTGGAACGAGAATATCGAGTCGAGAGAAGAGAACGTTGAAATATATGCCGTTTTTCCTTCCGAAACTTTTCTAAGAAAGAGACCACGTAGAACAAAACTTTTTGCACCATTAGAAAGCGCGTTGAACAAAGTAAGTTTGATGCTATTCAAAGCACAAAACAAACACTTTCGATTTTTTGCTAAATGCCTGCCTGTACATCCACTGTGCGTAACTCGTTTACTTTCAAATTTCCTTAGAATATGTCAGTGCACTGAAAAATGTTTGAAAATCGAATTCCAGCAGATATTACAATGCTCATAAAACTTTTTTGCTAATATGCAAGGTTTCGTTCTGTCTATAACTGCATTTAAGTTTGTGACGGCATTTGTCAGGAATGTTCTGAAAAGGACAGTTGCTAAAGCTCATTGTACCACGAGATATTAGGTTATGGTTCGCTGGGTTATAGGACAGGCTTTCCGCGTAACGGTTAACCAAATTTCTGTACGCTACCGTTTTTGTCATTTTATTCCGTTTATAGAATTTATAAAAAAGCATTGTGGAAAGCTGGGAGACATCTTTGTAGCTATACTTCTCAAAATTCATACGAAGCTCAATGTAAAATATTCAGCTATCTTTTTGATACAATTGTATCAACTTTCTAATAGCACCATTTCGCTGGAAACCGGGTTGTACCCGCTGAAAAAAACACTATAGCAGAAAACTGATCATATACTTTGAAATGAGTCTCGATCAGGTTTTAAGGTGCACACTCTTAGCTACACAGTGAGACATCTCACAATGACAACCGGCGTTAAGACGCTTTTTTGTTTGTTTAAAAATTGTCACTCGCGCTTTGACCTGTCTGAGAAATTTCAGTTGAGGAAGTTGTCGTAATTCGATAAAATCCGGCAGCAACCGTGCTGGATTATGTCGGAAATGCGTTGCTCGGAATCCGTGCCGGAAGATGTAGGAAAAGATCCAACCGAATGCGACATCTTTCGGTATCTTCCGACCGATGAATCTGATTTTGTTGGATGTGGCCAGTTTGAGGTTAAAAATAATCTTAAATTTTTTCTTTCGTTTTCTAGTGGTTCTTCTCTCTGTTTATTTGAGGAAGTGGAAGGCTCCACTAGCTAGGACGTCTACAACACGTCCGTTGAACAGTGTGAGCGATGACTCACACCGTCACGGTGTGAGTCATCTTTTCAAATTCGTAAGTTACGAATTTGAAAAGAACAACTTCTCATTTTTAATTTTCTGTAGTATCGTATTTAAAGTGCTCCTATAGTGGAACAAAACGGTGAATCCATTATGCGCACAGAAAAGAAAGAAAAAAAAATAAAGTGCATATCACAGGATCCGTCAATTTCTGCTCACCAAAACTTGATGAAACTTGATGAAATGACCTGCTTTCAACGGAAAACAGCGTTATACTAATCAAGTTTAGTTTGCAATTTACTTTTAAAGAAAATTCATATTCAGGCTCTGTTCGTTCAAAAGTTAATGAACGAAGTTGCGCTGAGAATAAAATAAATTTTCTTCTGCATAATTATTCTGCCACAGAAATATGTAACTTAACACTTCTGTTCTAAATGTTCTAAATATCCTCTAAAATTGCAAAGCCTGTTTTCTTTTGATATTTTATACTGGATCGTTACCAGAATTGGACTCCTCTTTCTCCTCGTCTTTTTTATCTTCATCGTCATCATTTCCGGCTAATCGAACGAATATTTGTTCTAATGTTGTCTGTGTCACTGAGTAACTATCAATTTCATTCGATCTTTTTTTCTCATAAAACAATTTAAATATGTTTGCAAGTTTTAAATCGTTGTTAGTGCCCTGTTCTACTGCGTTAAATGGTATTGTACAAAACAAAATTCCGTTATGTTGTTCTAAAATTAGACGAAGAGTCAAAAATGAGTCGTAGGTTGTTTAACATATATAACAGGTACAGTACCTTCGAATAGAATTCCAGGTATATCATATTTAAGGCTATTTTTCATATTTTCGATGTTTTCTTCCGCAACTTTAATTTGTACGGCATAACCAGTTCCAAATTTTGCTCTTAAATCATTTAATTTCCCGATACACAAAAACTGGCCTTGTTTCATTATACCAAGTCGATTACATAATGCTTCGCATTCCTCCATGCTATAAAAAGAGTAAACATAAGTTATTTCGAGTAGGTTTTCTGCTTTATCGAAAGAATTCGCTTTGCTTACGAGGAAACCTCTTTAGGTGCCCACCTCCGATTTCAATGATCCTGTGCCGATAAATACTATATAATGTCTTAGTAAAAACCCTAAGATGATTTGTGCTCGTATTGCTTCTGTCAAAAGTTATGAATTTTTTTATTTTATCTGTACAATGCATTAGGTTACACGGTAAAAAAAATTCATAACTCAGCCAAAACACGGTAGAAAAGGCTGAACATTTTTTGTATGAGATTGCTAGATGTTTATTACAATCATGCAAAATGTAAGGCTTCCAACTTCATTAATTCTGAAGTTATAGAATTTTCCTTTCTTAAGGAAACCGAAATGTTCTCAAAAAGTTCTTTTTTTTGCTATCGTTGATTATATATTCTTTATGGGATATCATGTCCATGTGCATTAATATTATGATCTTTTATTATCGTACCCACTTCCTTTCTGCTTTCTTATTCAGTTAGTTGCCTCTTCTCTAAGTTCAAAACATGTTTTATTTTATTATGTTTTAGGTGTCTTCTTTTCACAAAAATCTTGTTCAAAAAATAATAAAACCCTTCTTAGATGAGTGACCTCTGCGCGGCAGAAGGGAGACAACGTTCTCTCTGATGATGCTGATCGTCAGACTGAACGTCCGACTAGCCAACAAATCCATGACTTTCTTCCTTCAGCAAGTTTTCTTGACATCTCGTGTTCACCCCTTTTCGGAAAACACATGGGTGAAAGGAAAATTCTATAACTTCGTTCTAATTGAGACGCATACTCTGCAATTTCTCTCGGTTAGAAACTTTAAAACTCATCTTCTACATCAGAATAAGGAAGTTGGAAGCTTGACATTTTGTCTCATTATAATAGACATTCAGCACTCTCACACAAAAAAATTTCAGCCTTTTGTACCGTGTTTTGGCTGAGTTATGAATTTTTTACTGTTAGATCTAATTTATTATAAAGGCAAAATAAAAAAATCCATAACTTTTGAAAAAAGCAACAAAAGCACAAATTATTTTAGGGTTTTACTAGGACACTATACAGTATCTACCGGCAGAGCATCATTGAAATCGGAGGTGGGCACCTAAAGAGGTTCCTTCGTTGGGTGATTATCATGGCGATGCGAGATATTGTTTTCACTTGAAAAACTTTGTAATTCCACAAATATGAGAAGATGAGTTTTAACGTTTTTCACCGCGAGAAATTGGAGAGTATGCGTCTTGATTAGAAAACTGGATTTTGTAACCTTATGTTCCCGTCCTTTATTTGAACTACGTTTTTTTCTGAATATTATCACTTAATCGAATGGAATAAATCGAGCAGAAGAGAAACAGAGGGTCTATTCATAACAAAATCAGATACTGATATTCAAAAAATCAACGAACTGGTCATGGAATCAGAGACTTGTTCTTGTGACAGTCCAATGATTGGACCACAGCCCTGGCTAGGTGGTCTGATCTCTCAATAAGGTTAGCACTGCGTAATTATTTTCGAATATTACAAAGCATTTCACTAAAAACTTTTACATCAGAGACAACATTCAAAGTGGGTGCACAGCAATTTCGCGTTTCTGATCCTCCATTTAAATTCTTCCTACGTTTCCTTGTTATAATATTGAACTATCTTTACTTATTTTTGAAAAGTTAATAGTGAGTTGTGATAACGTTAGCGAAACAAATTATTTGTAATGAAGTTTTCTGCTCCATTCCGTGTATTTCTCAGCTGTGATTCAACTTGTAACTGATATTTGATCTCATAATAAGGATGAGAAAAGTTGATGTCGCTTGGTTCTCTTGAGAATTTTATCGATAACGTACAGCTTGTGGATATGAAAAAACATTCACATTTCATTCAGACTTCGACGGATCTTCATAGAATGCGTATGGTGCTAAAATATCAGTTCGTTGCTAGAGCCAATCGAGCCGCCTATGTCTGAGGATTCTAAGTAGATCGCACCACAGTCTTCTGTGCGTCGAACAGTATCTAATTGTACTTGCTACATCCTGAAAGCCGCTAACGGCAAAATGCGATATACTTATGACGATATTATGCCTTCTGGTCCATTTCTCATTTAAGCGTATTTTTATTTGATCTCTTTGGAGAATCAACATGTTTAATCAGCTGGCGCACCAGAAATGTATTCGTTAGAGGTATATCCTGGAGAAAAAGATCCATTTTTGATACCGAGTGGAGTGAAAAGCTCAATTTTCTGACAAAAAAAGTGGGAAGGATTAATGTCTCTCTACTCTTTTAACTCGCTGAAACTGCTGTGCAGGTAGGCCTTGCCAAGGCTACTTACTTCAATTAACTTTACAACCAATCTTCATCCTTACTTTTCGACTTAAGTCATGTTTTTGTGACGACTTTCGTTTTTATCGACCAATTAGATTTATCAATGCTCTTTAACTTTGTAGTCTAAACTTGGCCTTACTCTGTGTCCAAGTCCAGATCACAAAAGTATGTAGCTTTATGTAACTATCTACTTTGTAGAAGTCAAAAAGTAGATATAAATTGTAAAAGACTGAAATAGACTATAGAAATAGTATATATACCAAGATAAGGAAATAAAAAGTGTCTTTTGTATATATCGAGCACTCAGTTTTTGCATTTCCCTTTAAAATGAGAATAACAGCAACACAAACTTGTTCAATCACACATATGTCTGTCGCAAAAAAACTACTGACTGTGTTCATGGATACAAATTCTGTTACGCACCTCACCTAAGATGTAGTTATCATTATGCCTGTTAATTTGAGCGATCAGTGATACTACAGTATCTACTTTTAATTAATTGTACTGAGCTATTTGTATAAAGAGAAAAATTATTGCTTATCAGAAAGCGGTTACTACGACCACGATTTTGGTTTTCTGTTATTGATGGACATCTCCTTACTTACATCATCCTTAAATCTATAGATGATATAGTTTGATGTAATTGTAATTTCTTTTATCGACAAATGTCAATTAAACTGTGTATACCTGTGACTAGTCAAAATAATAGTCATTCCAGCATTTCGTGCAGCTCGAATTACTTCCCATAATTTACGTTTTGCAACTGCATCTAAACCTGTCGTCGGTTCGTCCTGTTAATTGTAACAGATAATTAAGTTTTACAGTAGAAGTATTTATCCATCTTACCAAGAATACTAGTTCTGGATTAGCCATAAAAGCGAGTGCTGCACTCACTTTTCTACCATTTCCACCGCTACATAAAAAAGAAGATTATTAAAATGCCAAAAAGGATTAAATAGAGAAGTATGTACCCAAGCAAAAATTTTCTATGGAGTGGATCTAGCTCCAACACACACGTAACCGGGCGGTTATTCACTTGATGGATCTAGCTAAATGTACCTTTTTACCTAGTTACCTAGCTCCAACCTAGTAGTG